AAAAAAAAAAAAAAACTTTGAAAGTCTCTCCTTATTAAATTCTGATTTTTCATTTCCCAGACTTGACCAACTCATCACAGCTGCCCGCTTCTAAGGGAAACTTTACTCAGGCTTCTGTTCTCACAGGCCTGGACTCAGCTCCCCAACCCCTCCTGGTCTGGACAACCACCAAGATGCCGAGCAAGCCCCTGGACACCTCAGGGGAGAATGCGCTGACGGCTGGGGCCCCGGTCCCCACAATCTGCCTTCCTGTCCCCTCTCCTTACCGAGAAAAGCAAAGCCTTTTTCTGTGGGATTGGAGACGGACGCTGGCCTGTCTGAGATCTGAGCCTTGTCCCTATTTCAACAGTCTTTGGAATGTTGTAAATCAAGACAACAGACCCAAAATGGAGTCACTTACGCTAAGCCCCACATCACCAAACCTAGACTTAAACGTAGTCACAGTTTTCGGCCTCTCCCAGAAATGGAATAAAAAACCAGTCCGTCGGGAATTACCTGGTCAGCACTGGTGAGGAAACCTCCGGAGAGGCCCCAGCCAGCCATCCCCTAAAGGGAGGTCGGCTTGCCGCAACCAATCCACTTTTTGCTAGAAACTTCCGTGTTCCTGCCCCCCTTCTGCCTATTCAGTCTGGTTTTGTACAGCTCCAGGGAGCGGGTGCTGTCCGATTCATGGATCTTTGAATAAAGCCGGTGAAATCTTTAAAATTTACTCAGGAATTTTTTAACAGGAATAGTCTCCTAAACCAAGTAAGCTTCTGTTTTTACCTGTCATGTCCAGGATGGGTCCCCCTATTCGGCTGCCAACAACCTCCCCAGGCTCCTGATCGTCTTCCCTGAGGCCCTCCTCCCCGAACCCCCACCCAGCAGACGGTAGTCGGGACCCCTACGCGGGGAGAGGACAGGACGCCGGGACCCCACTGCGGCCAGGCGGAGACTCAGGTCCGGACGGGGCGGAGGGCGCCGAAAGGGGGCGCAGACCCGGGCAGCCGCCGCTTCCAGCCGGGTCCCGCAAGTTCTTTCAGACCCTCCCGGTCTTGACCCCGACAGCGCACACGCACCATCTCGCAGCGCCGCTCCGGGTCCTTCCGGCGTCCTCCCCACGGCCCCGGCAGGTGAGAGCGACGCGGACAGCACACCCGAGGCCGTGCGGAACAGGTGCGTTTCGGGGGCGCGGGGGCTGAGAGCTACTTCCACGCGGCTGAGCAGCCCGCCCCTGGCCCTGATTGGACAGTGCCGGGCCCTCGCGTTATGATTGGCCAGAGCTCCGGGACCACCGCGTCCTAACTGGTTAGTGCCCTGGGCACCACCCTCGGAGTCCCCGATTGGACAGTTCTTCCAGCCCGGATCCTGAGTCCTGCATGACAGGCCATTGGGATGCACGTGTCTGACCCGCAGGACTGGTTCCGGCGCCGGTCGCAGAACCCGCTCCAGGCCGGGCGGGCTGGCTTCTGCCGGCCGCTCGGTGGTCTGCCCGTGTCCTTCTCCTGGACCGGAAGTTCCTGACTCACGTGCTCCTCGGAGCGCCTAGTGTCTGGAGCCGGCACATGTTGAGAGGGCCTGGTGACCCCGGGATCAGGGGTCGGCTGGGGGCGTGGCGTGCTCCCTGATAAAGAACACCGTGCAGTGCGACATCACCGCCTGCAAGGCAGAGGCCGGCTGTGTTTTGACATGTGACCTTTGTTACCCCAGGAGGTGCCACCCTTCATCCTTCCCCCTCACCCCCCTCCCAGCCCCACTTGTGGGGCTTGAACTCAGCAAACCGCAGGTACTTTATCTCCGTGGGGCTTCTCTCAGCGCAGCCACAGGTGAGAGACGTTCGAACCCTCCTCTGAACTCCAAGGGGTCTTACAAGAGTTGTTTTGGAAGAATTCGTTTTGCTGAAGCTGCTGTAACCTACATCTAGCTATACACAAATGGTTGCTAAGGCCATTCACTAGGCAAAAAGTGCACTTTGTTCCAGGCAGCTGTTTGTCCGGGATGTTTACGGTTTGGCAAAATGCAAAAAGTTCAACTTTCTGAGAACAGTAGTTTCAGAGAAGAGGATGTGCGTAAACCCTATTTCCCAGTGGTTCCTGGACTCATCTGTCAGTCTCACTATTAACTCCATTTTGTCAACATTTAAACCATTTTACTGTGCAGGGAAATTTATGTTGGTTCAGTTTTTGGTGTATCCCCAGAGAATGTTTAAATATAAAAGTCGGGTCATTTCCCTGAGGCAGTTCAATTCCTATTTTAAATGATTTAAGGAAAAGCATTGAATGCTTAAATAAATTTGGGTTGGACCTGGAAATTCTTCATACACTGATTATTAACTGGGTCCCAAGCACTGAGCATTTAATACGACTCCTTTTAAAACTACCCATTTTTGTACTGAGTAAAAGTATAAACTCCAGTATCATGGACCAATTTACTTACAGAATTATAAAATTCATTGTCTATGGCTTACAAAAAGATTTTATTCACTTTCATAAAAATTAGTATTTTGGATGTTAAAATTAATCTGAGTAAATTTGAAGATCTAAATGGGTTTTAATGATTCATCAATCAGACAGCATCCCATCTTAGCAAATAGAAAGGAGCTCCATGCAGCTGTACAAAGTGGAAGACATTCATAGGCAGAAAGAAGCAGAAAAAGAAACTTTCTAGCAAAGAGCAGATTATTTCAGGCAAGGTCACCTTCCTTTGGAGGAAGGCAGGGGGTCTCTCTGGCAGATTGCCTCACTAGTGCTGACCAGGAAATTCCTGACGGACTGACTAAAGGTCACATTCCCGAGAGGCTGAGAACTGCAATTAGGTTAAGTTTTAAAACTCAGTTTGGTGACAATGGTTTAGTACAAGTGACTCCATTTGGGGCTGTTGTCTATTTTTCAAAAATGTTGAAATAGGTTCAAACAGATATTTGTGCACACATGTTCACAGCAGGATTATTCACAATAGCCAAAAGGTGGAAGCAACCCAAATGTCCATCAACAGATGAATATATAAAGAAAATATAGTGTACATCCCTACAAGGGAATGTTATTCAGCTATAAAAAGGAACGGAGCACTGACACAGACTATAATGTGGATGAAACTTGAAAACGTTAAGTTTTCACTAAGGACCACATGTTGCATGATCCCATTCATATGAAATATCTCAAAGAGGGGTATGTATAGAGACAGAAAGTTGCTTAAGGCTGGGAATGGGAGTTAGAAGCTGATAGCTCTTCAGCTATCTAGATTGTTTTGGAGGCAATGAAAAAAATTCTAAAATTGATTGCTGCGATGGCTGCACAACTCCATGAATACAAAAAGCCACTGAAATGTACACTTCATATTTCAGTAAAGCTGTTTTAAAAAAACACACACACATACACACTAAACTCTTTAGTGTAAAACTTGACAGCAGGTGCACTTTGAAGAACTGCCCAGAATTAGGGGGGAAACACCTCTTCGCATGTCCTTGGGTCACTCCCGAGGACAATCTGGCAGTTTCTATTACAATTTAAAATGTACACTAACTTGTCTCCTTGGGCTCAGAGGACATACACCTGCACATGCAGATATCTGAAAATCCACACCAGCAATGGGAGATTTCAGTAGCTTGCAAGGGGCTCAACCAGGTACAGGGGACTGGTGTGGGAGACTGGTTTTTTACTACCTTTACCATTTGATAGCATACTTTGCCCAATTTTTCTCAAGAATTTGTTCACATAGCTACAGAAATATGTGTTCCCTGTAAGTCATGATTTTTTAAGTACGGAGTTTCCTGAACATAAAGTTGCCAAACTATTGATTCTATGTTTATGCCATTCCTCTTGCGGCCCACGCCCACAAAGTGGGAGCAAAGATGCACAGCGTGTGTAAAACACTGAGAAAACAGACAAAAACACCAACAAAAAACAAGTACATATAAGGCAGATGTAAGGAAAGAATTGTATCTTCATGCTTAACTGGTACTTGACTAAGGGTGATTCTGCCCCCCAGCGGACATTGGCGGCATATGGAGACAATTTTGGATTTTTGACTGACAATTTTGAGTGGCAAGGGGGTGCTAAATGGCATGTGATGAGTGGAGGCCTGGGATGCTGTTTAACACCCTGCAGCGAGCAGGACGACCTCTCAAAAAAGATTTCTCTGGGGCCTAATATCAACTGTGCCGAGTTTGAGAAACCCTGATATATAGTCAATACTAAATCTCAAAACGAGTATTGAAGGTAAAGAAAG